GAAGGAAGGAAGGAAGGAAGGAAGGAAGGAAGGAAGGAAAGGAAGGCTTATAAAAAAGATTAAGAAACAAAATTCAAAAAGAAAAATGCTGTGTTAGAGGTCCCCCTCCCACTTCTGCCTTGTTGGGTCCAGGGGTTTTGAGGCTCCCTCCTGCCTGACCAAGAGTCCAGAGAGGGAAGGTGCAGAAGTCAGAGAGGATGCCAGACAGACAGACAGACAGAAACATACTGAAGCCAGACAGAGGGCTGAGGGCCCCCTCTTGGGCTTTCCCACAAAGCCCTCTGGCCCACAGCCAAGTGGCCAGGGCCTCCGGAAAATGCAAGAAATGGGTTTTCCCCGGGGCTAGCACAGCCGTCAGGGGCTGAGGAAAGGCCCAGGGGGAAGGGCTGGGGCTGGAGCTTGGATTTCTGGAGCAGGGATCACGCCATCAGAGGGGTGAGGCTGGCAGTCTGGGTCACCTCTGAGCCTGGACCATCTCAGGGTTCCTCTCCTGATCCTGGGTGAGACTTGGGGCCCTGGCTCTTGAGAGGCCTAAATCCTGAGAGCTCAAGTCAAGGGGGAGTGAGAAGGGAACCCCTTGGTTGGACCCTCCATCCCCACACATAAAGCCCTGTGAGGACAGGGAGGTGGCAAGAGCCTCTCAGTCCTGATGGAGCTGACGATACAGGGCCCTCCCCAACTCTGCCAGCCTCCCAATCCCTGAGGTCCAGAGTGTCAGGACCTAGGGCAGTGGCAGGGACCTGGAAGTCACACACACTCTACTCACACCCTCACACTCTTTCACACTCACTCTTCCACACCTGACACACATACACTTCCTACACACTCACATTTACACCACACACTTGGTCTTGAATCTCTGATGCACAAACACCAGCTCAGTTCTTCTCTCCTGGATTGAAATTTCCTTGGATGCTCTGCAGAGATGAGCTCAGATTCCTTCATCACTGGTACCAGAGAAAAGGAGGGTCTTACCTGGGGAAACAATCACCTGAACCTGGAAAAAGGGTTCAGGCAGGAAGCCAAGGAGTCCTTTCTGCAGGATCATTGTAACCCCACACCTGTATTTTCCTGCATCGGCTGCAGTGAGGTTCTCCAAGGTCACGGTGAAGGTGAGGTCCCCAGGATGGTCCACAATGGACACTTGGCCCCACCTCACCTCTTCTTTGGCCTCTGGCCTGCATGATCTGGTGCCAAAGTAGCAAGCATGGTTGTCTGCAACAGTATTTGTAAAAGGCCTTATATTCCTTCTTGTACCAACATTGTATGCTCCAGGATCCCCTCACGGTGCCTGTCACGTTGTGGGGGCACTCAGAGTCAAAAAGCGTGGGAAACACAATCAGTATTGTTTTCACCCTGAAGACACTGAGCCAGAGGAGCCTTGGGTGTCAGGTCCTCTGGAAGCCCGGAGGTCACCCTGAAGCCAGAGGAAGGAAAGGTCAGGAGCCAGGGAGGTAGGAGCTGTTTGCAGACCCCAGGGGGAGATCTAAGGAGCCATCTGGTGTGGATTATGAGGCTTAAGAGGCCATACCCAGCCAGTGTGAGCTCAGCTAACTTGGAATGTGAGGGGGAGAAGAAGACTTCGGTGGCCCCAGATAGGTTCTGGGTCCCCAGAAGTGTCAGTCCTGTGAGGGGACACCTGTCCCCATCGAACACCAAGAACTGAATGAAGCCACTGAGTGTACTCTGAATAAATAGATGAATGGATGGATGGATGGATGGATGGATGGATGGATGGATGGATAGATGGATGGATGGATGGATAGATGGATGGATGGATAAATGGATGGATGAATGGACTAGGAAATAGAAAATAAGAATGGGAAGCAGGAGAAACTGGGTGAAGCGCAGTCCAGGGGGCTAGGATGAAGCCTCCAGCTTCTGGTTATGCCCTCTTCTCAAATGCTCATCCATGGGCCCCAGGCTCATAACCCCTGCTGGTATAGATGGAGCCTCTGCTCACAGGTCTGGGTCACACAGGACACGGGCCATGGGATAAAAAGAGGCCACTTAGGAAGGGGCTTTTCTTGGCCATGATCCAAGGACAGCCACACTTTGATTTCCCTCCTGGGATAGAATCCTGTAGCAACACTTGCCATCACCCTATGTCTTGGGGGGGCTCCCTGCTCCATGCTGATGACCCACCAGAGGTTCCTTCCCTCCCCAACCCCTCAGTAGCTCCCCACTAGCCTTGGCATGCCTGGGGCTTCATCTCCAGGCCCTCTGCCACCTCCAAGATTACGACATTGTCCTCCCTCCTCCAGTCACTCTGGAGGCCCTGGTTCCAAATAACTAGGACCCAGCTCCCTAAACTCCCTGCTTCCTGCCTGGAGAGTCACGCTGGCTCCAGACACCGGAGGCGTCATCAGTGCTCCAGGGAACAGCTGCTGTCTGATCTGCTCTTGACAGAAAGGTGGTTAACCCAGGGCAAGGGGCTGTTGAGAAATGGTTTTGGCAAAATACTGAACTTCTGAAAAAGAACTGGATATGCAATCTATCTACTTATCGCCCATCTCTATGTCTGTCCATTTGTCCAACCAATCATCCTTCCATCCCTCCCTTTCCCTTTCCCTCTCCCTCCATCCACTCATTCAGCCATCCAGGCAATCCTGTCATCCACAGATTGTGAGGCTTTTGCTATTTTTTACCCTAAAATCAAAATAAAAACCATACTTTCTGCTTCTTCATTTTGAACATCTTGCATTTTTTCACTTTACTTCCCAGCAAGTTAAAGTGGCCTGTTTTCTACATCAGAGTGCTGTCTGCCTCTCCCATCCACAGTCCCTAAAGCAGTGGTTCCCAATCAAGGGTGAACCCACAAACCCAAGGTCAATTGACCTTCAACAAAGGAGGCAAGGCTGTACAATGGGGAAAAGACAGTCTCTTTGGCGAGTGGTGTTGGGAAAGCTGGACAGCCGCACGTAAAGCAATGAAGCTAGAACGCTCCCTCACACCATACACAAAAATAAACTCGAGTGGCCAAAAGGCTTAACCGTAAGACAGAACGCCATAAATCTAGAAGAAAACATAGGCAAAACATTCTCTGACATAAATCTTGGCAATGTTTGCCTAGGTCAGTCTACCAAGACAATAGATATAAAAGCAAAAATAAACAAATGGGACTTAATTAAACTTTTAAGATTTTTCACAGCAAAGGAAACCATAAACAGAACGAAAAGATAACCTATGGACTGGGAGAAAACATTTGCAAACGATGTGACTAACAAAGGCTTAACTTCCAACCAAGAGTGATATTGCGTGTCAGAGGAGATCTGGCAAAGTTTGGAAACATTTTTGATGATCTCAGTTGAGGTGGGGAGTTGCTACTGGCATGGAGTGAGTAGAGACCAGGGATGCTGTTAAACATCCTACAGCGCGCAGATCAGCCCCCCACCACGCAGAGCGGTCCAGCCCCGACGTCAGCAGTGCTGAGGTTGAGGAACCTTGCTGGAGGGGGCAAAAGGCCTCAACCTGAAGACTTCCAGACTCAGGCTTGGGCCTCTAGGGAGCAGGGGCAGCGGCCCTGAGCCCTCTCTGTGCAATCGTTGCTGTTCTCGGCTCAGGCTCTGGGGGCGCTATTCTCTCCGTTTCTGGGGGCGGGGCGGGGCCAGGTGAAGCGAGGCACACGGGTGGCTTCAGAGCTGGACTTGGACTCAGCAGACTCTTTCAGTTGCAGAAGCCCCACCCTTTAAGATATGGGAACCACTTCCTCAGGTCTGGATCGAAAACATCGTGAGAGACCCTGGGAGTGACACTCAGAGCCTCCCTCTCCTCTGATGCTCCGCCAGACCCTGACCCTGAGCTAGCATGGCCATCTCCCCCAGCCCACCCTAGCCCACCCCTACAGCAAGCTCCTTGCCCCACCAGCGCCTCAAAAAGAAATGTTCGATTTCTCCTTCCACCATCATTTATGGAAATTCTCAGACCAGGACTGTTGACAAGTTCCCAGCAGTGTCACATTCCAGGGGTCCACAGTGCAGAGCCCCAGGAATCAGACAGGGGCAGGCCACTCCCACCCCCACACCTTCCACTGGCCAGACATAGGCTCCCACGTGGAGATGCATCAGTGCCTGGAGATACATAAATGGATATTCACAAGGGGACTTAGTAGTAGTATATTGTATTGCATTGTAAAGTATAATGTACTATAATACATTGTATTATAAAGATGTGAGATACAAACACACACACACACACACACACACACACACACACACACACACAGGAATACTATTCAGCCATAAAAAATGAAAAATGAAATAATGTCATTGCAGCAACATGGATGGACCTAGAGATGATCATAGTAAGTAAGTCAGACAGAGAAAGACAAATATCATATGATATCATTTATATGTGAAATCTAAAAAAATGTTACAAATGAACTTATTTACAAAACGAAGAGACTCACAGACATAGAAAACAAACTTACAGTTATCAAAGGAGAAAGGCAGGGGGAGGGGTAACTTCTCCTCATCTCTCTGGCGTATGAAGATGCTATTCCTGATTTTAAAAATGATGGTAATAATGACTCAAGTGGCCAAATTTACTTAGGGCTTAGAACGGCTCACTCTGTGGGAAACGTTTTACATTTCGTCCTCATCCCACCCCAGTGAGGAAATACTGTGAGCTAGGGTTTTTACACAGACACCTCATACCCTTTTTCCTTATGCCTTTAGTTCTCCTCCTCCTATCGCCACCCTTTCTGCCAGCGCATACTTCACTACACCCAGCACAGCCCCGCTCACCTGGGACCCAGAGAAGCAGCAGAGCTGACAGCAGCTACATGGCCCCAACTCCCTGGGGGATGCCCTCAGCTACAGCTTGTCCTGAGGCTGGAACTTTCCCATCCAGGGTTTGCTCACCCAGCTCCTTCTTCTGCTTTTCTTGGCACTTTTCTGCTTCCTTTGTCAGCCTCTTGGTGCTTTTCTCATAGCTGGTGAGAAAATGAGGGAAGCTGGGGCCCCAGTGCATCACGTCATCTGTTGGTAATGATGCTGAAAATTTGCTGAAGTTCATCCTCATCAAACATAGTTGAACTGGCAATTCCTGTTTCTGTTCCCAGTGAAGATAATGCCCTTCCCATCCCTTACCCACAGTCAGCAGGCTCACCCCCCCTTCTCTAAATTACAGCATAGCCCAGACAGCCACTCCAGGCTGGGTTAATTTCTATCAAGATTTCCAAGCAAGTCTTCCCCTCTGTAAATAGCCCATTTCCTGTGGCTGCCGTGAGTAGTCCCATGTGGTCAGACATGACTAGGCCCTCTCTGGATGAGGCCAGCTGTTGGCAGGGCCCAGTGCAAAGTGAAAATCCCTTATTCTAGAATTATTAAGAATTTCAAGATGGTGGCCACAGAGCATTAGACCAACCATGGGACCCTTCTAAGTAGCCGGTGCAACCACACAGGGTGCAGCCCCGTGAAGCCGGCTGTCAAGGCTCTTGGTGGTACTGATCAAGGGCCACATGGAGGCCAGGGAGGCTGCCAAAGACCGCGTGGAGGGAGGTTAGTCGGACATGAGGTCGAAGAGAAACTCAGAGTGAAGTGAGGACCGTGAAAGTTCTTGAGCAGAGGAGTGGCATCCCACGCACATTTTCAAAGCATTGTTTCTGCTGTCGGATGGAGAACCGACTGTTCAGATGAGGAAGGGGACTAATGTGAGGACTGGGAGACCAGGGAGTCTCCAAAAGTCCAACAGTCGTGATGACTTGCACTCAGTCAAGAGCAGGGAGTGCATAGGGAGGGATCAGAGCCTGGAGATGGGCATGTTGAAGGAAAAGCAACAGGACATCCTACCAGATCAGTACAGCAGATGAGCAGAAGAGAGGGGTCAGGGGTTAAAGCCTGAGTAGAAGAATGGAATTGCAATGAACTGAAGTGGGAAAGGCTGGTTTTGGGACAAAGATCAGAGTTTGATTTAAATTTTAAGATGTTTGTTAATCATCTGTCATGGACCTAATATCTGTGCCTCCTCACAACCCCAGTTCGTATGTTGAAGCCCTAAGCCCCTAGCTACGTGACAGGATTTGGAGATGAGTCCCCGGGGAAGGTAAATAGGGTTAAATGAGGTCATGAGGGTGGGGCCCTGGTCTGATAGGATGAGTGGCCTTATAAGAAGGGAAAGATTTCTCTCTCTCTGTCTAAGAAAACAAAGAAGAAGACAAAAGCGGGATTTAGTTCATTTGAAAACAGAAAAGCAGTAAAAGCATGAATAAACCCGAGGACTGACTTTCCGGGGCATGGAGGAAAATGAGGGGGAAATGCAACAGAGGAATTAAAACAGAGAATAGTCCCAGATAAAGAGAAAATTAAGGGAATTGCAGGAGAGTGTTTTACAAAAGTCTTCTTGTAAACTGAGTAATTTTCTAGGAACTTATAAATGAACTAAGCTTACTGCAGAAGAAATAGAAAATTTTTTAAAAATACTATGGAAAAATTTGAGAAGTTATTCTTTCTGGTCCTGACTTCAACCCCCAAATGATGGACAAAGCCCAGTGATTTCACAGGTGAATCCATCCAAGGCGTTTGAGAACAGATGCTTCCAACACTACGGAAAGCGTTCCTGGGCATCTAAAAGGAGGGGACACCAACATTTTTTGGTGAAATTGGCATAATACTGATACTCCAACCTGACCAAGGTAACACACAAGGAAAAGAAAATATAGTCCAACCTCATTTCTAGATATCGATGCAAATGAAACTCTTCAATAAAACACTAGAAGATAAGCTTGGTGTGGATCATCAGCATTATTTCCCCTCCCTTGAGACACTGTGGACTTTCAACTGCTAATAAATAAAAATGCCGTCAATTTGTGTGTGTCTCCCTGGAATAGGCCGACTTACTCACTTCTTTGGTTTGTTTGTTTGAAGTGGTTTGTTTGATTCTCTTTGCTGAGTGAAACAAACCCAGCTCTGTCTCTGAGGACCTCGCTGCAGCACCCCTAGATGGGGCCTTTGTGGCCATGTTGCCTTAAGTGACCTGCGCAGCATCCTCCAACCACAGCCACAGGACAAGGAGCTGAAACATTCAGACCTCTGTTGAATTTCCTGGACTTTATTTTAAAAGAATAAGAGCCACTGAAGGAGGGTGATTATTGTTGTTTAAAGATCATTCTGCCTAGAGTATTGAGGAACGGACTAGATTTGGGCAAAACTGGAAGCAGAGATAATACTAGTGTGCAGATGGACTAACGCAGATGAAATAACAAGGGTAGCCTGGCCTTGGGTAATTCCAGTGGGTACTGAGAGCAGGGAACACCTTTAAGAGATGTCTGGGAAGCACCCACTAGAGGAATTACTGAATGATTAACCTTGGGGCATGTGGGAGAAGGCTGGGAGGATGACATGTGGATTTCTGGCCTGGGCATTCCCCTTGAACACATTGCTCCAAACAAGGATGGCAAGCAGGCCTTTGAGCAGTTACAGAAAATTGTCACCTGTGCAGGTTTGAGGAGGTGTGGCTTGGGTCACAGCTAAGGTTGCCAGATTTAGAATGAAAAAAAAAAAAAAAAGCCAGCAGGAGTAGAGAGGGAAAGAAAACAAACACTAAGAAAACTCTGGGAATTACCACCTCCCCCATCACTGTTTTCCTTCCCGGCCCTCTTGTTTCGCTCATCCTGAGCTCTGAAGGTCCTGTCTTGAGTTTTCAAGTCATTCGATGTGGACTGTTGGGTTTGCACCCAGGCAAGGCGATCTAGAGGAAACAGAACCAGAAAATTCCCATCTGGATTGGTCTGACTCCTTATGGTTTCCTTCCCCAATCCTCCAGTGACCCTTCATTTAGCAGAATCCTTGGCTGCTTCAACGAGGCGTGGATCATCTGTCTTTCTCATAATGCACAAAGGTCTTGACACATCTCCTGTCACCTAGTGCAAGTCCATCCTCACCAAGAATGACACCCTTTTCTCCTAATATGTAAAATGCAGAAGTAGGTGTAGACAATGGGAAGTGAATCAGAGATACATGCGAAGCAGATTCAAGTGGGTTCACTTGAACCTTGAAGGAGGCTCAGGGTGTTCATCTCCGACTTTGGCATCAAGCCCTTGAAGAGTATTGAGCTCGTGTGATCACCAGAGATGGGACGCAGGACCACGTGGCTGCTCCCAGCTCTGCTCCTTCTCTTCCACCCAGGTGAGTGGGGCTGGGCTTCAGGAACTGGAGTGACTCAGGCTGGGCAGGAGATAGAGAGGGTCTGTCCTACGGGAACATGGCAGGGACAGGGCAGGGAAAATTCACTGCTCCACACACTTACTCGTTATACAAAAATCAGGTTTTTGCTACCTCCCAGGTTCTACATTAGGTTCTAGGAAGCAAACAAAAAGCAAAACCAAACCAAAACACCCCCCATCTAGGACAGTGCTTCTCAACCCTGGCTGTTCTACACAAACAGATCCAAGAATGAAAGAATGAACTAAGGAAGGGATCTACCCCTGATGATCACAGATGCTCAGGCTCCAGCTCAGATCCGCTTGGTCAAGGTGGGGCTCAGGCATCTGGATCATTTAAAAGCCTCCACCACTGGTCTTGCCTTCCTCTAAAGAGCTCAGAGGACCGGGAGGTAGACAGGCAGCAAAGCCAGTGGGGGACAGGCTTTCTGGAGTGTCGCGCAGCCCCACACATCAACCTGCCTGAGCTTTTGCCCTGGACAAGCCAAAGACCAGCCCATGGTCCAAAGTAGTAAGCACAATAGTGGAGACACATCGGCGGCGGGGTGGGGGCTGGGTGTCACGGCGGAGGAGAGACCAGAGATGAGAAGGTGTCTAGTTCTGGGCTCGATGTCAAGTCCCTGAGGGGCAGCTAGTCCTTGATGCTCATAGAAGACAGGCTCTAGGGAAGTAGGACCATATGGCTCTGCAACTTCTCATCCTCCCAGGGGAGCCCCTGAGGAACAGGAACCACAGGGCTCGGGGCAGGGTGCAAGGAGAGTCTCTTCAGGGAAGGAGGTTGTCATGGGAAATAAAATGACCCCATTTATTCATCCATTGACTTACTCAACATCTATATAGGAATCAAAAATCTGATAGGAAGATTTGCATGTGGAAAAGTCACTGGGGAAACTTGCATGTTATTATTAGCTTAATCTGGAAATTATTCCGGGTAAAGAGACATACATGTGTATAAGTTAGCTTGAAGTGCCGTAGCAGAACACCGTAGACTGGAGTGGCTTAAACAGTAGAAATTTCTCATCTCACAGCGCTCAAGGTTGGGAAGTCCAAGATCAAGGCGCTAGCCTATTCGGCTCCTGATGTGGGCTCTCCTCTTGGCTTTCATTTCCAAGGACGATTATCAGTGTCTGCATTCTATTTCCTTGTATAATTATTCTCCTAGTTGATGGAAGTTAGCCTTGTTTCTTTTATTTTCTGTATGGTAAATAATTATGTAACAAATCTTTGTGCAAACCTTTTTGTTAAATTGTATGATTCCACTTATTAGAAAGGCCCAGAAAGGCAAATCCACAGAGACAGAAGGTAGATTAGAGGTTGCTGAAAGCTTCAGGGAAGAGTGAAGTGGGGCAGTGACTGCGAATGGGCACACGGCTTCTTTTTTTTTCAGTGGAGGTACTGGGGATTGAACCCAGGACCTCATGCATGCTAAGCATGCACCCTACCACTGAGTTACTCCCTTACCCCCAGTAGGGCTTCTTTTTGAGGTGATGAAAACGTCCTGGAATTGGATAGAGTTGATGGTTGCACAACTTTGTGAATATCCTAAAAACTACCGAAAGATATACTTTCAAAGAGTAAAATTTATGATACGTAAATTATATATCGATTTTAAAAGTGGGCAAAAAAAGTAAATTCTTAGCCTTAAACACGCTTTAGTTAATTTTAGAAAGGAAGAAAATTATCATAGTATTTAACTTAGCAAATTGGAAAAAGATAGCAAGTGATAATTGCAAGGAATAAAATTATACATATGAAATATTAATAATTTCAAAATAAAAACAGTAGCATTTAGTAACTAAATCTCAAAATGGTTTAATACAGGAAAAAGGAAGGAGGAAGAGGAAGGGGAGCAAAAATAGTGAAGGAAGGTATCTCCTCGCACATGTAATCAATTAAATCAAATGGCGAGTGTAATGAAAATATGTCATTATGATAGTATGAAAAAATTAATTACAAAAGGGTACTTTATTTTTTTTAACCTGGTTGTTTTGATTTTTTTATTAGAGAATTCCAGCTTTTAAAAAAGCAATTTGTGAGAAGATATATGTCAAAAATAACCTGTAGGTAAGTAGAGAAAAAAAGGTCTAATACAGTTAGTAATAATTCCAAGGATAAAAGGGTACTTCATTATTAAAGAACTTTGACTACTACATACTCTTTAAAATAGGTAACTTTCTAGGAAAAACAAAACCAAAAAAAAAAAATAGAAGTGACCCAAGAACAATTTTAAAAACTTGAATAGGTCAATATTGATAGGAAAAAAGAATCTGCTCCAATAAAGAATTTGCCAGATAGTTTTACAGACAATTTTTTAAGATCCTAAAGAAACAGAAATTCCTTTGCACCGTTTACATTCTGATCTCAGAACACCAAAAACTGGAAGTCTGCCAGATCAATTGTGTGAAAGTAGCAGTTCTCTGCTATCAACCCTGACAAAGATGCACAAAGAAAATGATAGAAAAAACCTCCCGTATGAGGATGGGTCTGAGTTGAGCCCGGACAGAAAGTGAAAGAAAGAAGAAGAACATGTGAGAAAATGCTGCTTTACTCTGATATCTGCCTTACTGCAGAGTTACAGTGTTCAAGACAGGATGGATTGGCATAAAGACAGACAAGTGGATCAGTGGAACAGAATGGGAAATCCATCAATAACTCACAGATTTGCTTTTTGACAAAGGAACCAAAGCAGTTCGATGGGAAGACGATGAGACCTGTGTGATGTGGATTCCACAGTGTGGGGGGCCAACTGGCATCCCTGTTTTGGTCGACTTCAGAGGCGTTCCTGCCAGGGTGGTTTACTGTGAAGCACTAGAAGCAATTAGAACCATTAGGAACAGCTTCTCTTAGGAACAGCTGGGTGATGGGGCCTCTTCACCTGGACCTCTGAGGTCATCAGTACAAAATCATCCTCCATGGAAATGGGTCCTCTGGTCTTTCCTCCCCATCAGACCAGCATAACATAGATGGTTGCATTAAAAACATGGATTGAAATATAAAGACTTACTGGCCATACACAGGGAGAAGGGGTGAACTATAAGAAGCTATTATTAATCAGTGTCAACATTTTGTTTCCTTGAGATCTATGGTTGTGCTTTTATAGGATTTTCATGGTAGCTTGACCCAGTGGAAGTTTGAAGGACAAAAGATCTTCATGTGTAAGGTATATTTCTTCCTTCACTGTTACTCAACTCATGAAGCCCTTAGGTTTATTGGAACTCTCTGCAGTGCAGGAGGCTGTGACTCTGCCCTTAGGTGGATGGTGACAGGTGCATGGTTTGTGTTTTCCAGGTTCAGCTGCCATCACGGGTCCAAAAGCAGTGAGAGGCCTGGAGCAGGGCTCGTTGACTGTGCAGTGTCGATATGGCCCTGGGTGGGAGACCGATGTGAAGTGGTGGTGTCGAGGAGCTGACTGGGACCGCTGCAAGTTCGTTGTTAAAACCACTGGATCAGAGAAGGAGGTGAAGAAGGACCGTGTGTCCATCAAGGACAATCAGAAAAATCGCTCGTTCACTGTGACCATGGAGAAGCTCAGGCTGAACGATGCAGACACTTACTGGTGTGGGATTGAGAGAGCTGGACCTGACCTGGGGATCCAAGTTGAAGTGACCGTTGACCCAGGTAAGAGTATATGTAGATGTGGATGTGTCTCCTCAGGGCCTGCCCTGTCCTGGTCCCTCGGGTCTATCTTAGGTGACTTAACTGTCATGCAGAGGGAACTGTCACAGGTGGTAGGTGAGTCCTGAGGTCTCATAGGACCCCCACTGGCCACTTGGGATGGGGAGGGACAGGGCTTCCCTTAGATGCTCTCATGGCTCCCAGGGCCTCCTCTGGGATGGGATCAAGCCCTTCTTGGCACATTATTTTTCCCTCGGCACAATCAGTGCCTGAGTCTCTTGCCCAAGGAGATAAATATGATGGTCCCAGTTGCAGCCCATGGGCAAAAGGGACCCTCTTCCATGGACCCAGAGACCCCAGTTCCTGCCAATGCTTTCCTGCCCTTTCTGAAGTTTGGGGCTGGGACTTCATAGCTGCTGTTCCCACCCTCTGTTCCATATCCAGTCTCAGTGGGGGAAGAGACCCAGCATAGTCATGGTCTCTGTGGTTAATTCTTGAGGTCTGCAAAGGCCTCCAGGGTCAAAGGGCTGTTGAAATCTAGCAAATAGTTTTGTCTGATAATCATGATTTTTCTTCTTATGTTATTATTGTAGCATGTTACACTTACTGATTTTCTAATGTTCAAACAATTTTGCATTCTGGCATGAACCCAAACTGGTGACAATGGATTATCCTTCTTGTATATCACTGGATTCAGGTGATTTTTTGTTCCAGACTTTTGCATTTATGTTCGTGAGTGATATTTGCCCATGATATTTCTTGCATTCACTAGCCTTGTAGGATTGGCATCAAGATTATGCTAATTGCATTGAGTGCACTGGGGATTGCCTCCCCTTTTCCTTTGTTCCAGTATTTTCTGTTATAAGCTAGACATTATTTCTTCCTTAAATGTTTAGTGAATATCTCCATTGAAACTGTATAGGCCTGGCATTTTCTTTGGGGGAAATTTCTAATAATGGATTTGATTCATTAAATAGTTGTAAGATTATTCAGCTTTTTTATTTCTTTTTGTGCTAATTTTAGTATATTGTTTTTTCCAAGAATTTGTTATTCCACCTAAAATTTCAAATTTATCGGCATAAACTTGTTTAGATATCATTTTATCATCCTGTCCCCTTCTTATCTTAGCCTCAAATTATGTTTTTAATAAGTGCAGGGTATATAGTGATGTCCCCCTTTTCATGATTGATGTTGATTATTTAGACCCCTTCTCTTTCTATCACAAACATCTCATGAGGGTTTGTTTTTTTTTAAAAAACAATTGCTGGCTTTGTTGATCTCTGTTTTATATTTATGTTCTACTTCATAGTTTTTGTTCTTTTCTTCATCATTTCCTTCCTTCTACTTTTTCCATGTGACCACTCACTGTCACTACGGCCCAGGGTGGGAGAACTATGTGAAGTGGTGCTGCCGAGATGCGGATCAGAATAACTGGATCATCCTTGTTCAGGCCACTGGCTCAAAGCAGGAGGAGAACATGAACCGTGTATACATCAAGCAGAACATGACCATGTCTGATGAGAAAAACGGCTTATGAGAAAACCAGTTTTGTTTTTCCTGACTTGCTGCCTAGGCATTTTACAGTCCGATATCCCTACTCACACCCAGAGCCTGGACGTTTCGATAAAGACCTGAGCTTCAGATTCCCACCATAAGTTCCCACCTTGGTTTTCCCAGGGCACCTTTCAAAATAACCACTCACAGTTAAAGCTGCAAAAAAATCAATGACTTCTGCCCCAACACCTTATCAGTAACAGGTGCTTGCTACCCTGCTCTGTATCTCCTGCTGTCTTGTGACCTGGGATGGAGGACTGCCCTTCCTCCTGATCATTGCCACCATCCTCCTCCCGCCTTCCCAATCCAGCTTCTGAGACCTGTAAGTAGTAAATCTTTTGACTCTACTTCCTTTGTGTGGGTGTGTTAAAACTGCGCCTCCAACCATATCCGTGTTAAACCCTATCTGACTCCTTAAATAACTTGACCTCTTTGCAGCATCCCCTCCCCTCTGCCCGAATTCTCTGCAACTGAATCTCCAGCTGTTTCTCCTATTTCTCTGGTTGCTCTTAGTCTACTTGGAAAGAAACATTCTTCATCTGCTCCTATCTTAAATTTTATCCGTTCATGAGATTTCCATCCTACCTGTCCCTCCTTATTCTATCCATTTCTGTTGGGTGGTCTCATTGTATCCATAATTATATTTACCATTAGTATTCTTACATCAGTTTTTCCTTCACAGATTTCCCCAAAGTTTCAGATTAATGTATCAACTGCCTACATAATCTCATCTACGGGAAGTCTCATTGGTACATTGTCCCATGAAAACCACATTCTTCTTCGCCCTCCCCTTCCAACCGGCTCCTTCTCCTGGGTTCCCAAGTCCAGCAAATGTCATCCACATTCCCAAATGTCATCCTGCCAGCCTTCTTCTCCCACATGCCACAAGGTTAATCATTCAGTAATTCCTCTAGTGGGTGCTTCCCAGACATCTCTTAAAGGTGTTCCCTGCTCTCAGTACCCACTGGAATTACCCAAGGCCAGGCTACCCTTGTTATTTCATCTGTGTTAGTCCATCTGCACACTAGTATTATCTCTGCTTCCAGTTTTGCCCAAATCTAGTCCGTTCCTCAATACTCTAGGCAGAATGATCTTTAAACAACAACAGTCACCCTCCTTCAATGGCTCTTATTCTTTTAAAATAAAGTTCAAGAATTTCAACAGAGGTCTGAATGTTTCAGCTCCTTGTCCTGTGGCTGTGGTTGGAGGATGCTGCGCAGGTCACTTAAGACAACATGGCCACAAAGGCCCCATCTAGGGGTGCTGCAGGGAGGTTATCGGAGACAGAGCTGAGCCATCCTTAAGGGGTTTGTATTATTCAGCAAAGAGAGTCGAACAAAATATATCAAACCAACCAACCACAGAGTTGAGTAAGTTGGCTTTTTTGTCAGTAGGAGACCAGTTAGACAATTCAGTGGGGAAAAGAATAGACAACGGTGATGAAAAATATTAAGAAGCTTAAAAATCAGCTCAAGAAAGATGTGGGACAGATTTTGAAAAATTCTGTAAAATTCTATTGAGAGACATAAAGAAACATTTGAAATTCTTTCCCCTCATCACAGAAAAATAGCACATTTTTGATATTGTCCTAAAACTTCCCTATTTCCCCTTGAAGTATTTTGAAAATCATTCCATATCAATACCTATAATTTTTTGCTTTTAATAGTTTCATAGTATTTCATAATTTATATGTATCATGATTTAGTTCTTTCTTTCTTGATGGACATTTAAGCTGTTTTCAAGTTTTGTTTTGTTTTGTTTTTTTGCAACTATATACAATTCTGTAATGCATATTTTTGCATGTGTGACTTGATATACATTTGTGAAGATAGGATAATTTCCTGTAAATAAAATAGCTGGGTTAGAGGTCTGTGCACTTTTCCAATTTTGATGGATGTAAAAATTTCTACCCATGCCTAAATGTGTTAACAAATGCCAAATCCGACCTCAAACACTGGATGTGGTCAATTTTTTATCTTCCCAAGTCTGATTGGTAGATTTGACATGTTGATCAAGCATGACCTGACATGAACCCGCAGGGAGAGGAAGTTGCTGGAGAAAGGGGGATGAAGTAGAGAGTCGAGAGGAAGGAGCAATGGACTGCAAAACAGAGAGCCATGAAGCGGGTGATGTTGTGTGTGCTGAGAATCAACAGGATACCTGCCCTCAGGGTGAGGGGGAGGCCAGGCCACAAACCTGCTCCAGTTCCCGGCCCCTCCCAGCTACCTCTCCTCCCCATACTGGTCTTTGGCAAATGCCAACTTTTACTCCAAAGGCAAGTGGCAACTGGCAGAAATATCACAAAGCGGTATTTCAAGCAACACAATATAAAACTGTTTGGAGAAGCAGACTTGGGTCCAGGAAGCAGAGAAAGGAGATTCCACACCTGTATGCTGGCTGTTCCCTAAGAAAAAAGTAAAAATAATTTATAAGTTTAAAACAAACCTAAAATAAAGAGATCTTCAATCTGCAACTGAAAGTCCACAGTGTCCCAGGGAAAGAACTGATACTGATGATGGACACCAAAAATATTCTGAAATTACAGACCTTCAAGCATAATGATAGAATCTAATGGGCTCATATCAGAAAGGATATCAAATCAGAGAGAGCAAGTTGTGCATGTGATGGAAAGACATCACAACTACACTGCATCCCAGGAGACAGTGAAGGAAAATCTACACGTTCAGAGGAAAAGACAGGGAGTTCCACGAATTTTATACTCAGCGTTGCTGTTTTTCAACTATTTGAGCAAGCAACAATCTCATGGCTGCAAGAACTATGAAATATAGCACCCATGAGCCCTTTAAAAAGAGAAAAACTACATTGTGATGAAAATTTGCCAACAAACGGAAAAGTTAAATCATGAGAAAACAGAAGCTATGGTGAGCAATGAATAGATTGAAAACTAGAAAAAGAACTAAATGATTATTTTTTAATTTACATATCTAACATTTACAGAATAGAGTAAAAATCTCATAAATACAAAAATACTACACTAAACAAATCAGTACTAGAAAGAGGAGGGAGGGCAAAGTTAGGTAAGATGCAAAAGCCGTCGTCTTTCAGGGCAGGGAAGCAGCGGTTTAAATACTTTGTTAAAAATAAGAAGGTAAAAGGGGGACTTGGGGCCCAAGCATAGTGCAGAGGGAGTTTAAGTGAGGGGCTGCTTGGCTCGGGTGTCAGGGCCCCAGCAGGGAGCAGGGTCTCCCTGCAGACCAGGTCTCCTCCAGCTGTGTCCTAAGCTGTCCTTCCTGGCCTGGGCTGCCCATGCTTCTCCTACCCCTGCTCAGTGGTCCCTCTGCTCTAGGGGCCTCCCTCTTTGGTCTTGAAGCTGCCCAGAAGTCAAAGCTTAAGAGGAAGGGAACAGCTGTCCTTTTCTCTTCATTAAGGAGCTCCTGGTGCCCTCTCCTTTCCTCCACAATGAACCATCAGAAAGAGCTTAATTCACATCTGAGGAATCTTGGTCTAAGGCTCTTTAAAAGGATGAGGAGCCGTATTCCCAGACTCATCCCTCCCCAGGCACCTCTAGCTCACAGTTGCTGGTCTGTTCTAACTCTGGTGTCTGATTGATGGAATACCCCTACAGTCCCCCAAATGCATGAGGTTATCTCCCTCGGTACCCCAAATGAAAGCAGCAGTTAAACTGAGTACATGCAAAAGAGGAAAGAAAATATGGAGCTATTAACAGGAAGGGCTCTGGTGACCAGGAGGGGATGTGAGGCCATGCTCATCTTCAGTCATGCACGTAGGAGGTGAGGGATGGAGCTGGTACCAGGGTTTCCTTCCACAGAAGTGGCAAAAATACATCAGGGCAGGGGTGCCAGAGTCTTCTGTTCATTTGTAGATTCATGTCTTCACTTGTGGTTGGCACATGATCAGCGTTTAGTACAGTTTTTCTGTTTCCGTGGGGTCTAGAATTTCAAAACCCATTATTTATTGAAGCCCTGAACCCCATGGAATGCAAAAATTAGTCCGTTACATTGCAGGCGGCTCACAGGCCTGAGATTATCTATGCCCTCCAGCAACTGGGCCCAGGGGAAAGGCATTTTCTTTTGCATTTCTCCTTGTATTTTTTTTCCTGTGTGGGAGGCCTCAAGAGAAGGAAGGCCGGAGGCTGTACAGAGAAGGGGGACCCCAGAGTGAGGCCCAGAGGCCCAAGCATCACAGTTGCAGGTTCCCAGGGACTAGGGGACTGTCTCCTGAAGCAGGGCCACGCTGCCTCTAGAACCACAGTCACTGCTGACCACAGTCATTTCCTGATAAAAATTTCTTATTCTTCTACTTGGGGGGCTTTCTCTTTGGACAAGACATTGAAGAGCATGGAACTACTGGTTCTCATGGGGCTAACTCTGCCTCCTCACAGAGCTCCTCTGAGGCCTGTTGACCCAGAGGACAGCACCAAGCATGCCCAGGAGCAGGGGCACCTTCAGGAAGACCAGGAGCAGGAAGTGGACGCTGCCCAGCAGGGACCTGTGGGAGGAACAGAGGGATATGAAGTGAGCTGCCACCCAGGCCCCTTCCTCCCATCTTTCCGGGTGCCCAGGTCCTGGATTCCAATAACCTATGTGAGGGCCAGCCTGCGGCCCCAGGCTGACAGTGGCCTGCACTCCCCTAAACCCTCCTTCCACATTTCTCACTGTTGTCACCCTTGCTGCTCTACTGGGAGGGAAAGGACGGGTGTCCTTATAAGAAGGAGAGGAGATTAGGACATAGACACATACAAAGGGGAAACTACGTGACGCCACAGGGAGAAGACAGCCGTCGACACGCTAAGGAGAGAGACCTTAAAAGAAACCAGTTCTGCCAACTCCTTGATCGCAGACCCTGGCCTTGAGAATTGTGCAAAAATACATGTCTGTTCTTTAAGCCACCGGGCCTGTGGTTCTTTGTTATGGCAGCCAAGCTAATATACGAATTGTCTCTTATTCTTCACTAGTCACAGAAATTTGTAGAATAAACTCGTCAATCAAGTACTTAACTCTGTTTGGTACATTAATTATGTAATATAAGTACCAGGAGGGCAGACGGCTGGATATTTTGTTCATCCTCACATCTCTTTGTATTTCCTAAAACCAGGATAGGCAGGAGTGGTGCTCAGTGCTCATTTGTTGGATAAATGAATGGATTATTCATCTCATGCTGATCAAAGACCCTAACTGGTACATACGTATGCCTTTGATTCATACAGTGAGGGCATTTCTTAACTATTACTTATTAAAAGCATTTTGGTAGAAAGAAACTTTCAAAACAGAGAGCAAATGGGAAAGGGGAAGGAAAGGGTTCCTGGGGGTGGGAAGATTGGGGATCTCCCTCTGGGATTCTGCGGGAAGGCCCAGCAATAGAAACAAAGTTGAGGAGGGGAGGGCAAAGCTCAGTGGTACCGTGCGTGCTTAGCATGAGGTCCTGGGTTCAATCCCCAGTACCTCCTTTAAAACAAAGAAAAAGAAACAAAGTTGAGAGGACCAAGGGGAGAGAAGGGAGGAAGTGAAATGGGCCGCTCAGCTTCTAGAAAGCCCGTTTGGCTGCGATGGCTGGACAGGGCACTGAGGAGCCTGAGTGAGGCTCTGCTTCTTCCCCTGCGAAATGGGGAAGTGCATATCTACCCATTCCGCGGTGGTCTAGACGAGGGCAAAGAATTAACAGAGTAAAGACAAGAAAGCCCCTCTGTGAGCCGCCAGGTGCTCTAATGACGCAGGGAAATATGAGCATCGCTGCTCTTGCCGTTACAGAACTTAGGGAAAACAGCACTTACACAGGCCCTCCCTGCCCTCCCAGAATCTGCCGTGCCGCCCTCACGGGCCGCCTGCCCGTCCAGCTCCCACACTCTGAGTCTCCATCTCTTGAGTTCCTCGGGAGGACGCTCCAGGTCTATGTCTCGAGCTGAACGCAGTGCCAGCCACAGAGAGGTTAACTCAGTTAAAATGAGATGGGTGGATGGATGAATTTATGAACCAACAAATCTACAAATAGCACTGAGGACCAGGGCGAAGGATCAGGGGTCTCCTGTGCAGCCTGAGAGCAAGGCGGAAGAGGCCCTGGCATCTTTCTCCTCTCAAGGGAGCCTGAGGGTCTGGAGACAAGCTCTGGCTGGGACCCGGGACTACAGAGGGTCCCGCCGTCAGAAAAGTGGGCCACCGGGAACAGCACAATCTGAGCTGGCTTACCTGCTGCCGTCGGAGGGGTGGCCTCTGGTGTCTCCCGTGGTGACTGGCGCTGTGAACGTGGTGGTAGTGGAGGTGGCGGTCGGCACTGTAGTTGGTGCTAGGTGTATAAACCAGATTACGCACTGCTCAGCCTGCTCACCCGCCCCCAGCCCTGCCCGTGGCTCTGAACCTGGGGGATGGGAGGGAGCATGGGCTGCCCTGGCCTGAGGATTCTGGAGCAGGGCCACGGAAAGGGGCCTATAGCCTGGACCTTCACATTTCCCTGGCCTCTAGTAGCCTCAGAGGCAGGAGGGGCTGGCACAGGTCCAGGGAGGACACCAAGCAGAACCTGGAAGGTTAGAGGGGCCCAGGGTTGCCCCAGGACACGGGCAGCTGGAGTTTAGCTGAAATTTAGACACTCCAGCTGCTTATGACCAGGCCTCGGCCAATGCCCACCCCCCATCTTATGCATCCAGCAAGGAGAGGAGCAGGATGGGGGCTTCCCCGGGGGGTAACACACCCAAGATCTGTGACTTCAAAGATCAGGACCAGCCCTGAACAAAAGCATAGGGTTCAGGAAGAGCCTTTACTTGGGGCAAGTTATTAGGCTTCTAAGATGGGGATGGGTATTTCTCAGGAATATTGTCAGGATTCAAGGAGACAATGATCGTGCTGTGCTTTGCAAGTATAACGTGCCTCAAGGGCTCCGGGTGTGGTGGCGGCTCTGCTGGCTGTGTGCCCGCCCCCCTTGCCACAGGAGCCCTCTGAGCTGGTGCCACCTGCCCAAGGGTCAGCAGAAGCAGAGCCCAACAGATAGACTCGTTCACACCAAGGCACTGAGACCCCTGAGCCAACGTGCCCAGAAGTGTTTGCATTCTAGAAGGACTTCAGAAGAGAACATCCCTAATCCCGTATGTGTAAATGGCTCAGGATGGGATTTCAGCCACCAGGAATGCAGCCCTTTGACTGTGGAGGCCTTTTCAGACCCCAGGAATTAACCACAGCACCCCCGCTGTGCTGGGTCTCTTTCTTTGGGACTGGATATGGAACAGGGGGTGGGAACAGCAGCTATGAAGTCCCAGCCCCAAACTTCAGAAGGGGCAGGAACCCCTGGGCACCAAAGCTCCCAGGAAAGCATTGGCAGGAACTGGGGTCTCTGGGTCCATGGAAGAGGGTCCCTTTTGCCCATAGGCTGAAACTGTGACCATAATATTTATCTCCTTGGGCAAGAGACTCAGGCACTGATTGTGCCGAGGGAAAAATAATGTGCCAAGAAGGGCTTGATCCCATCCCAGAGGAGGCCCTGGGAGCCATGAGAGCATCTAAGGGAAGCCCTGTCCCTCCCCATCCCAAGTGGCCAGTGGGGGTCCTATGAGACCTCAGGACTCACCCACCCCCTGTGACAGTTCCCTCTGCGTGACAGTTAAGTCACCTAAGATGAACCCCAGGGACCAGGACAGGGCAGGCCCTGAGGAGACACATCCACACGTACACATACTCTTACCTGGGTCAACGGTCACTTTAACTGGGACGCCCAGGTCAGTTCCAAATCTCTCAATCCCACACCAGTAAGTGTCTGCATCGTTCAGCCTGAGCTTCTCCATGGTCACAGTGAATGAGCGATTTTTCTGATTGTCCTTGATGGACACACGGTCCTTCTTCACCTCCTTCTCTGATCCAGTGGTTTTAACAACGAACTTGAAGCTGCCCCAGTCAGCTCCTCGACACCACCACTTCACATAGGGCTCCCACCCAGGGCCATATCGACACTGCACAGTCAACGAGCCCCGCTCCAGGCCTCTCACTGCTTTTGGACCCGTGATGGCAGCTGAACCTGGAAAACACAAACCATGCACCTGTCACCTCCCACCCTGAGGGCAGGGCCACAGCCTCCTGCACGTGTCTCCACTGTTGCACTTACTACTCTGGACCATGGGCTGGTCTTTGGCTCGTCCGGAGCAGAAACTCAGGCAGGCCGCCGTGTGGGGCTGCACGACACTCCATAGAGCCTGTCCCCCACTGGCTTCACTGCCTGTCTACCTCCCAGTCCTCTGAGCTCTTTAGGGGAAGGCAAGGTCATTTGTGGAGGCTTTTGAACAATCCAGATGCCTGAGCCCCACCTTGACCAAGCGGATCTGAGCTGGAGCCTGAGTATCTGTGATCATCGGGGGTGGATCCCTTCCTTAGTTCATTCTTTCATTCTTGGATCTGTTTGTGTAGAACAGCCAGGTTTGAGAAACACTGTCCTAGACGGGGGGTGTTTTGGTTTATTTTCGCTTCTTGTTTCCCAGAACCTAACGTAGAACCTGTGAGGTAGCAAAAACCTGATTTTTGTTCAATGAATAAGTGTCTGGAAGAGTGAATTGGCCCTGCCCTGTTTCCTGCCATGTTCCCCTAGGACAGACCCTCTCTATCTCCTGCCCAGCCTGAGTCACTCCAGTTCCTGAAGCCCAGCCCCGCTCACCTGGGTAGAAGAGAAGGAGCAGAGCTGGGAGCAGCCACGTGGTCCTGCCTCCCATCTCTGGTGATAACAGGCGCTCAATACCCTTCAAGGACTTGACGCCAAAGTCAAAGGTGAACACCCTGAGCCTCCTTCAAGGTTCAAGTGAAGCCACTTGATTCTACTTTGCATTTATTTCTGATTCACTTCCTATTGTGTGCACCTACTTCTGCATTTTACATATTAGGAGAAAAGGGTGTCACTCTTGGTGAGGACAGAATTGCACTTGGTGACGGGAGCTGTGTCAAGACCTCTGTGCATTATGGGAAAGGCAGATGATCCGTGCCTGGTCGAGTTTGCACATGAGGAGCTGAAGGATCTATGCTGAGAGGAGAGGGCAGAGCTGGCAGTGGGAGTCAGGAGAGAGGACCTCTAGAGCAGGGGTCAAGGCAGTGATGGACACAAGGTAGGTCTGTACTTTGGGAAGAACGCAGCGCTCAGGGCTCACACTCAGCCTCCCTGGAGAAACAGCCCCATCCTACCATCCGTCCAGGCAGCCCCACCATCGTGCGTCTCACACCACCCTTCCTTCCCTGGGCCATGGTTCCTTCCTGCCCCTGACCCTCTGCCCTGCTTTCTAGACGGCTTCCTCTGAGGTCCTGAGTCACTGTGAATCAGAGGCCACAAAGGAGAGATCATAAAGAAGGAAAAGTGCCTTTTCCCTTCATCTCTTTTTGTCGCAGAAGCTTCCTCCCGTACCTCTGCATATTTCTCCTCTGACTGTGGGCTTTTGGCCACCTCACTGCATGAAACTGCTTCTTCTAACGTCCTCCTGAGTGACCTCTCCCCTCTTCCTTCAGATGCTCCCCTCCCTCTGTGTCCCCTGCTCCCTCTCCCTGGCCCCTCTGGATTGATTCTTTCTGTCTCTTCTTTTCTATTTCACACTTTCCATATTGGTGAGTTCTGTCCCACCTTCTCAGAGGTTTTAGTTTAGGGTTGTGTTGTCTTTTGACTTTTAACCCTTGCATGAAATATTTATTTTAGAAATTATATTTTTATTTCAAAAAGCTGCTCTTTGTTCTCTGATTGTTGATGTTTTTAAAACTCTCTTCTATTGCCTGAATTATATCTCTTCCTCTGTGGTCATGTTTTTGTTGGCTTTGGTTTGGTTTGGCCTTTCTTAGATGTCTGATAATTCTTGGTTATCAGATCATACATGAAAATGACCCAAAAAAGGGCCGATCTTTTGAGTATATGAGAGCAAAATACTATGTAAAGTAGTTCTGTTTCATCCTCCCAGAGTCTTGAGCCTCCCATCCCTTCCTGACTTATAAGCTGCACTTTAAAGTACGGCGGCAGAGAGAAGTCTTCTAAATTCCAGAATAAAAGGATTGAAGCTGGTCTCCAGCATCCTCTCTAACTGCCATCCTCTCTAACTCCACCATCCTCTCTAACTGGTTTCCTATTTTATTCAGTTAAAGGACTCTCTGATTTTTCGCCTAGGAGTTAATGCCTGCCTACAGGTTTTGGGAGAATATGCAAGGAAGCCTGTGCTTGTGGAACTGCTCCTTGACCAGAGCACCAATCGCTTCCCCAGTTTTCAGGCCCACCTCCGCTACACTCTCCATTACACCTGCTGACTCTGAATTCAGGTAAGCCAGAGGTAGAACTCACAAAATATAGTTTATTTCACCTGCCCTTTTCCTTGGGGGTGGGTCCAGTGTGTCCCAGACCACCAAATCCCTGAAACTACTGACACAGCAGGTCCCTGAATCTGAGGGGGGTTCACCCCCAGTCTCTGGAGCACATCTAGCTACTTGTCTCTTCTTGTTATCAAGACTGATTAGATTGATATCATCTCCACAGTGGGCTAACTACGTTCTGAGCAGTGTCCAGATGATCCAGGCTCCTTCAGATGATATTGTGACAGAGAAAAAGAAGAAAATGAACACCATTCTGGGACAAGACTATGAAAGTATACTGTTGCTCATGCTGAGTGGACACAGACCGCCTCTGTTCCTCCTTCCTGGTGGGTGTTGGAAAGGATGCATTTGCCAGATCTACAGTTGCACCAACACGCCAGGCTGCGTCAATGACTCCAGTGCAGCAACCACAACGGACACAGAGCTGTGTCCTGGCTCCCCCTTGGGTGGGTTTCCACCAACCCGTGTCATTAGTGAATTAAAGATGCATATGATGGTCCCCCCGCTCTGTGTTCTTAAACTTGGAGGGTGGCACTGACCTCTGACATTTCTCCAGGATGGGATGTTGATTTCCATTCACTCTCTTGGTCACTGCAGGGGGGCCATTTCGGGGCTTCCACTTGACCTTCCCCAACATGATCACTTTTACCCCACAGGCCAAGAAATCAATATGAGAATTGTGCCCATTGTCAGGGAGCTCCATTTCTGGTATGTTTCCAGTCCAAGAAAATGACCATTGAGAGACCTCACCTGCCTTTCGATCTGGATCTTGCCTCTTGTTCTTTTAGTCATTGCCACCAATCCTTGAAGCTGATTGCCATTCGGAATTTGGTACCTGGTCCACCAAGTGTGTTCACCTTGACCTAGACAGGTAAGTTCTACCACCTGCCTTCTGCTCTTCTGGAACTCTGTCAGCACCACTGATCCTCAGTTATGTAATGGCATCACCTGTGAATCCAGCACAGAGAGACCGGCCACCGTGGAACCTCTGGTAATACGCATGGTCCCCTCACCAGCATATTTCTTACTTTCCTTGTAAATGGAGTGTCCTCCAGGGCGTCCCAAGGATGATACTCATTTGGTGGGTTTTCAGGTCAGATATAGCAGTTCTGTCTTAGCATGCTAAATTCTTTGAGCCTATGACCCTCCCTTCCACACTCTGTCCCTGCCATTCTGGCTCCTGGACTTCGTTTAATGTGGGGCTTCATTGCTTCCCAGCTTCTAAGAGCCATCCCAGCCATGCACTAGTCCCAGTCTCCCAGGCTTTGCAGGTGTGCAGAGTGTCCCTGTGTTGTGTGCATGAAAGCCTCACGCTGACGGATTCTTCCCAAGTCAGCATTATATTCCACCACCCAGCCTAGCACCTGCAGATTCTCTCCCAGACACACCCTCCTGGTTCCTGCCAGTACGATTTCATTTTCTTCTTCCCTTGGTAGCCCTGCATATCCCCAGGTGGGCCACGCTGGCACCTAACGTCAGTCAGGGGTGAGGTGGTCGGGAGGGGAAATGATGGCCAGGTCCTTAGGGCATGAGCGTGTGCTGTGTACTCAGCATCCTTTCAGACTTCTGCACAGTCTTCAACGTGGGGAGCCCCTATATTCTAACAAGTGGACAGGCCACTTCTGGGGACCCAAAGGGAAACTAGGGTGGGGGGATTCAGATACTCAAGTGCATTGGTAGGTGTGTCAGCCCAAGTCTCAGGGCCTCACTTTTCCCTACCAGGAAACACTTGCCCTAAAACACTTGGTGAAGCTAAGAAATTAACCCTGACTGAAGTTTCACTTCTCTTAAAATTAGGTCCTGGCCTGATCTACAGCACAACTGTCCTTCCCAATAAAAGAAATGAGAGGCCCCTTTAATGCTAAGAAGGAAGGTATACAGATGTTCACCAAAGGCATGGGCCAGCATGTGAGAGCAACATTACTTATGACAGCCAAAAACTTGACGCTAGTCGAACGCCCATCAACAATAGAATGGACACATTTGGTCTATTCACACAGTGGAATATTGCATCACAGTCAGAAAAAACAAACTGCAGATAAAAACTGCATTGAAACAGTGTAGACGAAGCTCATAAACACATTGGTGACCAAAGGAAATAAGACAGAAGTGTGTGGATTGTATGGTTCATTCATATAAAGTTGCAGAACCAACAAAATGAATTTAGGCTGTTTAGAAATCTAGAGGGGAAGGACGTTGTGACACCGTGACTTTGTAGGCAGTGGCTGGAGGAGAACACAAGAGGGCTTCTGGGGGCTGGTAGTGTCTGCTTCTTGAACTAGGGTAGGGGCTCGTGGCATGGATGTGTTTCATTTGTGCACATTGATTGAACTGTGCACTTTCAATGTGTTCATTTCTGTGTGTATTTTATACTCCAATAATCAGTTTTAATATTTTACTACAGAAATCTTTCCAAGTCACTGCATACATGTTTACTGAATTCTTTAAACAGCTGCCTGATGCTGAATTGTGGCGCTCCACCACAATTAACTATTCCTGCAGTGATGGCCGTTGAGCCTGTTTCCAGCTTTTCGCTCTTGCACATTGACGGTGCAGCTTCCAGTTCCGGGTAAGATTTCGTCTTATCCGGAAAGAATAATCTAAGTGATGGAAATAAGAACTCAGGCTGGATGCATGCGTGGAGCAGCTATCTAAGAATTCTGCTGAATAGGTGGCACCTGAAGGATTGGGGAAAGCAACCAGAAGCAGGGCCAATCCAGCTGTGACTTTTCTGGTTCTGTTTCCTCTAGATCTGTCTGCCTGAGTGTGAACCCTGCAGCCCAGATGCTGAAACTTCACACTCATCAGGGACTGTAAGAGTTCAGGATGATCGGGAAAAGGGAGCCGGAAGGGACAATAAAAGGGTGGAGTTTGTTGTTTGTTTTCTTTCCCTCCCACCCAGCCCCAGCAAGCCTCAGGGCAGAAGCTGCAACTCCACTGCAGCAGCTGGAATTTCCAACACCTAGAGCCCTGAAAGAGGAGAGCCCTCTCTGAGCAGAGGAACCATGGTCTGAAGAAGGGGGGTGGGGGATGTCGTGGCATGTTCTCTGTCTTTATTCGCCCTCTGCTTGACCCTGGACGCTGACTCGGCCACAGGAATTACACAGATAATAGACGTGAGAAAACCGCAGCTTTCCAGCCAAAAGACCAGGAAGTGGGGTGGAGGGCTCTGAAAGCTGGAAGGGGGTCGGAGAGATCAAAAAGAGAGAGCAGCTCAAGAAAGGGACCCTACTAGAACTCCCAGCTCGCTGCCACCCACCCCTCTCCTAAACTCTGTGCCCCAGTGGGACCTTGAAAATACCCAAGACTGAGAACTTTGGGGAAGATCACCAGCAGGGTCACAGACTGGCCGCTGGGGGGCGCGCACGGGCCGGATCCGAATGCACCTCCCAGGCTGGGAAAGCTAAACTAAGTTGGAACCCCAGTTCTCAGAAGCCAGATCAGCACCTAAAAATTCCTAATTTCACCAGCTTGACTGCCTGCCATTTAAGAAATGGGATTCACAGTTAAAGACGTTTGGGGGAAAGTGATGGAATTATGTTGCATGTGTGTGATGGTGGTTTCATGAAATAATGCATGTGTGAAAAATTACAGAACTGTACATCACAACAAAATGGATCTAACAATACGTAAAATTTGAAAAATAATAAAAGCAGCAAGAAAAATTCTTCCAACTGTGCACTTTCAATGTATGCAGTCAATTTTATCCCAATTGCACTTCAATCAAATTGTTAAGAATGGAAGGGGGGGTCGATGTTTCCTGCAGTCCTGTCCGCGGCCCCTTCGCAAGTTCTTGGCTGCAGGCAATAGCGCCAGGGCTCACTGGAACACCCGATCCCAGGAGAAGGCTCAGCCCTCAGATGTAAACACAAGCAGAAGCTGTTCAGCCTCTTCCTCCCTCACCCTTCCCTCCCTGGAACTGGCCCACCACGCCCTCTCTTGCTCCTGTAGGCACAGCCCTTTGTCGCTTCACCTCCAAGCCCCCGACCCCTGCAAGGCCCTCTGAGGGTGAGAAGTGGCAGGAAGAAGACTCGGTGGCTACGTCTTGGGAAGGCTAGTCTGGTGGAGCCAGGTGGGAAGGGAAGCCCTAACCCACAAACCAAGTGTGACATTTCAGTTTGAGGACTGGTGATGACAAGGGCTATCATTTTGAGCCCGTCTAAGCGGCTAACAGGGTAGGTAGTTCCACAAAACAGCATTGACTTTGAAAGTCAAGAACTGAGCCAGAGACGAGGTTGGCTAGAGATGCACATGTGACAGTCCTGCGCATGGAGGTGATGCTAGGGAGAGGGGTGGGGGTGCAGGGACCCAAGAGCAAGGAGAGGGATTCAGCAAAGAAGAGAGAAGAGAAGGAGAGGGAGCTGGGGACAGAGGGAGGGAAGCACCTAGGAGGGGAGATGTGTGGGAACGTCACTTAGGAGGTCATTAGAATAAGTGATTTCGGTGCAGTAAAGTGGCCAACAGTCCAGAGCCAAGGGAAGTATGCAAAGAGGCAGGAGAGGGAGCATCTGGGACAAAAAGAAGTGAAGGCAAAAAGCACTTCTCCTTCCTTATCCCCTCCCCGCGGCGGCCTCTGCTTCACAGAGACTCAGGACCACAGAGGAAGCTGTCCCGAAAGAGGGGCAGCGGGTCTGACTCAGGGAGGGACCGTGGCCCAGGGCAGGAAGGGTCTGATGTGCACGGTGGTGGGGCTGCCTGGAAGGGGTGTTAAGGCGGGGCTGTTACTCAGCGAGGCTGGGTGTGAGCCTTGAGCGCTGCATTCTTCCCAAAGTGCAGATCCAACAAGTCTCCGTTGCTCCCTCCTCCCCGGCCTCTGGAGCCTTTACCTCCCAGCCCTGCTCCACACTTCATGCTGCTTTGCCGGCAACCTCCTCCTCAGGTCCTCACACAGACCTGCAGTGGGGTCCTGGCCAAACTGGATGCTTTGCTTCCCCCAAACCCCTGAAGGCACAGCTCCACCTTAGCTCCCCTAAGTCAGCTACCACGGCACTGCCACAGTTTCACCCCCCGCCCCGGACATACTTCCACCACAAGAAACTGTGACAATCACACTCTGTTTGCTGACAAGTCCTCTGCGGGTGACTATTATGGTGATTTTCTGCCGCTCAGTTTTCACTTATGCTGCTGCTGCTCTAAGTACGTCCTCTCTCTCTCTTCTTCCTCTCCACCCCACTCCCACCCCAGTCGGCTGACATTCTACACCTCCTTTAACATCATTCTCCAGTGTCACCTCCTTCCACTGATCCATCCAATATGACATAATGTTTTCCCCTCTGACATCATGAGGCATCTTGCTGGTGACTGTGCTGTGGCTCTTACCAGCCTTGCTTATGCTACATTGACTTGTGAGCTTATCTTTTTTATAAAGTGCATCATAATCTCCTCTCTTGCTCACTATTATGTTTCCTACATCACCCTGTGTATCTTATTATTATTATTATTATGAGCCTCTTTAGATTGAATTTTTCCTTCAGCTGAGTTTGGGGCCAGCCCCAGATCTCCCTGAGATGCCATGAATGTCCCCACCCTTGTGGGAGCCAATCAGCGCTCAGGCTCGGAGAGAGGCAGCCCTGCATGAGAACTCAATGCTCAGAGGAGCTCCCAGAGGAAAGGATTGGTCTGGATGCAGAAAGCTGAGTGAAAATGGTGACGCTTGCTTGTGACAGACTGTGCAACTTCTCCTTGCAAACTTCAGGGATAGAGCAATAGACAAGCATTCAAAAACCAACTGAGCCCTTTCCTGGGCTAGGTTTGCCTGTAGTGGCTGTGGCATCATACCATCCCAATGTGGTAAAAGTTATTTCCTCACCTCTGTGTCCTACACCTGCACCTGCGCCTGGAAACACATCTGCCTCTTCTGTGAAAAGGGTTAATTGTCAACAGACGGTCAGACTTCTCCTAACATGGATCAAGCTAGACGCTCTGTTAGCTCCATGTACAGGAGACCCTCCAAGTCAAGGATTTCCAAAAGTATACAGGGGCACCCACTGCCTCCTTTTCCTAGTACTGCTCCAGCTGGCCCCAGAACTTTAAATTGAAGATGCTCAGCCATGGCTGAGCCAGGCAGAGATGCGTTGGTCATAGGGACAAAAAGAGGAGGGGGATCGAAGCCCAGTGAGACCCAAGAGGAGTTGGAAGGGAGGAAGAAGCCCAAGGGTGCAAGACAGAGGGAAGCTTCGTGATCACACTCTGTCAGGGCCAAACTCCCCTGTGACGGTCCCTGAGGAGGGGGTGGGGGTCCTATGAGCCCAGGACTGAAGCTGTGAGTGCTGTGTCCTCGGGGAACCTCCTGTCTGCAAGAAGGAGGTGTTTATTTCCCTGGGGACACTGAGCTGAGAAGCCTTTGTGCCAAGGAGAGGAGAAAAAGGCCAGGCTTCTGAGCATGCAACTTCCAGAAAATTCTTGCCTTTGGGAGGTGGGCATGAGGGCGAGGAACCAGGGGGTCTGTGGAGGAGAAAAGAGGATCGCAAACAGGGGCAGAGGAGACCCAGCCCTCCTCCGCCTAAGGACTCAGAGCAAGTGTCTTCTAAGATCCAGGACTCTCCCTTGACCACTTCCCCCAGAAGACCTGAGTCCCTCCAGAACACACTCTGCTGCCTCCCCGTCCTGGAGTCCAGAGTCCAAAGGTCTCCCTTGTCCAGTCTGAAGGGCTATATTCCTGGACAGGGCTTTCCTGGGGACGGTGCACTGCACAGGATTCCCCTGCTCAGGCTGACTGCCTCTCCCTGCAGGGCCCCTGTGAGGTCTGTTCACCCAGAGGGCAGCACCGACTGTGCTCAGGAACAGGGGCAGCTTCAGGAAGACCAGGAGCAGGAAGTGGACGCTGCTGAGGAGGGACCTGCAGGGGTCACAGTGACAAAAAATGAGCTGCCTCCTCTGGAGAAGGACCCTGGACCCTTCTCTCTCCACCTCTCCCCGTGACCTGACTCTAAAGCCTGGATAACTCAGAATCAAACCCGGAAGAGACCCACGCCAGGCAGACCCTCCCCGGGGCCCCTGGCAGCGCTCCTCTTTTGGTCGGGAAATGCCCTCCGGACCCTCCTTAGGGAGATGTGATGGAGCAAAGAGGGAAGAGAGACCCAGGTGGTGGCTGCTTTCCAGAAGTCTGCTCTCAAGCTTACCCTCTCTGTCCCTTCCCCCCTACACAACTTTCCTTTATCAGCTGACGTCTTAACCAACCCTCACCCCTGCGTAAGGCCCTTGTCCCTCAGCTCCCTTCCCTTCAGGGTCTGGCAGCAGCATCACAGCCTTTTCTGAGCGCCTTTGGGAGGAGGAGAACAGACCCAAACTTCAAGTTAGAGCCAACCCATCTCCCCACAGACCCCACAAAGCACCTCCTGGTAGCAGGGTCTTTGTTACAGCAAAGACCTCTGGAAGTGGGCCCAGCCTAGGGACCAGAGAACCAGGACCCCAAGTCCAGAACTGGTTGAGGCAGGAGAAGGAGGTGGGAGCGGGAGGAGGGGCTGCTCGTCCACCTGAAACCAGCCTCCGTCTGTGTCCCAGCAGCTGCACCACAGGGGACAACGTTCATAGAAGAGGTGACATTTTCCACTCAGAATCCCAACGCAGCTTTGGAAAATATAAAAATTAGGACCGGATTTGGAGGAAAAACCAGCAGAAAGTGAGATTAAAAGGTCCTGGTGTGCTGCCAACCCGCACCCCAGGGTGCCCTAAGGCTGCTGACCCCCCTCCTCCGTGGTCTCCAGGCCTTGAGCCATGACCTTGTGCAGCGCGTTGACACCTCCTTGGTGCTGAGGGTCTGCCCAGCATTCACGGTGGGGAAGGGAGCAGGTGCAGCTGGACATGTGGTCTGCCCTGTGGTTGTACTTGGTGCTATAGATAAAATCACACGTCAGGCACTGCTCTCTCCCCAGCCATGTACTAACAACTATTTGGATCTCATGTCGCAAGGAATCATCCACTCACAGAAAGGACTTGGGAGTTGCCCTGTGGCTAGACCACCTCCTGAGCACATGAGACTTTTCCAGACCTGGCCATAAGTGCCACCTTTCTCCATCTCAGGTCTGACTCTGCCTGGGGTGAGAGCAGGGGTCTCTCAGGGGCTTCCCCAGCCTGGTGAAGAGCCCCAGAGGAAGGAAGGGCAGGAATGAGTCTGAAGAAGGCAGCTCATCCTGTGGCCCAGAAGCCTCACAGAGACAGTGGGACGGGGCTCACAGGCCCAGGTCTGTCCCGGTTCTGCTGATGGATTTTAGGTAGGGTGACCAACTTGCCCTAGTTTGCCTGGGACTTTTGCAGTTTTATCACTGAAAGCCCCGCATCCAAAGAAACCTCAGTCCCGGACACACACTGAGGGTAATTTTAGGATGGATCCAGTGGTAAGAGTTTCAAAAGGCAGATAGGAAAATGGTGCGTGAGAGTTGACGGTACTGGTAAGAGAAATATATAGAGTCTACCGTGAAGGCTGGAGCTGGCTTAGGAGGGAAGTGAGGCCAGGGCAGGGAAGGGGGGAGCAAGACATTGGGAGAAAATGGAGAAGGGGGTCAAAGGACAAGAGGTGTGTGTGAGCTTGAGAATGGGGATAGAAGGGTGAAGGAACTGGAGGGCTGATGCATGGAACATTGTGAGAAAGCAAAATGTTTGAGGTTGGGTTCTGGACATGGACCCGTTTAGGGTGACAACAAGATGTGCGTTGTTGCCATGGAGTTGGATTCTGAAAGAGTGGAAATGCAGGACACTGAAGTTGAGAGTCATAAAATCTGAGACAAGGATGTAAAATTTAACAAGTTATTCACAAAAACCTCCCAAGATGATGCCAGGGACTAGGGTGGAGAAATCGCTAGGTTCCTGCTGAATGTTGAGGAATAATCTGGAAGCCAAAGGATGGCCATGTTAGGGAGAGGAAGAGGGTGGGTGTGGCCACATGACACAAATTTTAAAGGATGCAGGTGGGAAAGTGTTAGGTTGGAAGTTGTGATGGGAGGTTGGGAGAATGGGGCCACGACTTCATGGCCATATAGTATATGGGGAATAGGAGAAAGAGTGGCTTCCACTCCGAAAGCCTGCCTCCTGACACAGGAGTGAGATCAACTTCAGGACAGAGTGGTAGAGGCAATGTCCTGTGAGCAAGCCGAAGATGTATGTATGCAGACTACAGCTGCTGAAGGGCAGAGTGGAAACAGCCTTGGCTCAGGTTGGAGGGGCCTCCCAGGTAATGCAGTGAGGCCCAGACTCTGTGAGAATTAGGGCACCTTGAGCTATGCCTGCAACACATGCCAAGGCTGAAGGATCAGCCCCCTTTCTCCCTGCCCATATTATAGACTCTTCCCAACGCTACTGAGACAGAGGACAAGACCCAGAGACACTCTTCAGTAGAGCACCCATCTTTGTCCCCAGGTCCAGTGATATCCCATAAGTTCTGCTGCTGGACCAAGGGGAGCTCTCACCTGGGAAAACAGACACCTTAACCTGGACTGAGGGGTCATATGACAACACGTCCAGGATCCAGACTCTCTGAATTCTACACCAGTAGGATCCAGCGTCATTAGCATTGAGGTTCTCCATGGTCACTGTGAAGGTGAGGTCATCAGCATAGTCTCTGATGGACACGCGGCCATTCCTTTCTTCTTTCTCTTCTCCTTTGGTCTCCACAATGACGTCACGTGATGTGTCATACTTTCCTCTGCACCAGTATTTGTTATACCCCTTGTACGCCTTCTCGTACTGACACCACACTCTCAGAGAGCCTCCCATGGTTCCCATCACAGAGCTGGGGCCCGTCAGGGACAAGCAGCCTGGAAAACACAAGCCACATCCCAGGACTCCATCCCAAAGGTCCTCAGCAGCAGCTACCTGCTTAAAGCCCAAGGGGAAAGTTACCATGGAAGTGTGGACTGTTCTAGGCTGGGGGATGGGGACCTGGAGAGACACCTGAGCTTAAGATCTAAACCAGAGGGTCTGGAAACTGTGGTCAGCAGAACCAGTACAGACCTGAGCCCTGTGAGCCCAGAAATGCTGAGTAACTGCGCAGGGGCCCTGCCCCTTGGGGAGGGGGAGAGTAGGACCAAAGCTGGAGGTGGGAGCAGGGATTGCCGGCTGTCCTGCCCTGTCCTGCCCTGTCCTGCCCTGTCCTTAGCCCTGCAGCCCCTGCCAGGCATGAGATTTGGAGTGAGGCCTCTGCATCCCAGTTTTTTGGGGTTTTTCTTTTTTTATAACTCAAACTTATTCTTTAAAAGTGTAATTTCTTGTTTATTCTGTTCTCCATATGTTCCCAAGGGAGGAAAAGCAAATCTCTGGGTCTCATCACAGACCTTCAGATTTAGAAGGTGGCTTTTAATACCTTAGCCCAATTTTCTGTCCAACCCATAAATATGTCAGAAGCAAATATTCATGCAGGGTGTTGACAAATGATACCAAGTTACTGGTGTTTGAAAGAGGAAACGGGATTGGATTGAGAAGAAAGCTGTTATTGGTAGCTTTCTAGTTCTTGAATTGGCCAATGAGTTCACAGATGCTTGTTAAACTACACATTATTATATTATATAAAAGAGGGCTCTGCATGGACCAATGATGGCAAGGTATTGAGCCATGACCAATCCGATTTTGGGCACCAGAAGTGAAGAGAAAAGAAGATTCTGTTCATTCCAGAAGAGTACTCTCCTCTGTCCTGCTAGAATGCTGTCTGAATGCAAGATTCGCAGGCTTTATGTAGGATTATATAGATGCATACATGTATCTTTTGATTAAAGTGTTTTGCTGGTGGCTTGCAGTCCGTGGGAGCTAGTGCAGGAGAGCGATCAGTTCACAATGGAAGCAGTAGATGGGGTAGCAGAGCGGTCTGCAGAAAGCACCTGGAACAGTTTTGTTAATACTACCAGCACGGAGGTTCTGGATACCTCCACGGCCAGAGCGAAGAGCCCTGGGAGGAGCCAGACCTGAATTTCATTTTCAATCCTTTTACTTAGTTGATATGTCATAGGCTAAGCCCTTTACCATCTTATCTGTAAAATGGGGATAATGCTAACTGCCCTGCCTGGGTCCTAAAGTTGCTCAGAGGGTTGAATTGTGTCATAGGTTTGAAAGTGTTTGTAGGTTGTAAAACGCATAATAAACAAGAGTTCTATCCTTGCTTACTTAATATGGGAATTCACTTCCTCCAGTTTCATCCTTTCTCTCCTTGTTCTGGAATTGCCCTCAACACCTTTCTTTATATCCCTTCCTCATTCCCCATTCTCAGGCTAGCAGTACAACCTTCTTGGGTGTCCTCCATAAATTTAAAGTAATCACATTTTTCCAAACAGTGTTTATGACCCCAGATGGGTGCAGGGGGTGGAGGAGAATGCTGGGAAAGATAGGAGGGAGCTGGATCAGGAGCTGAGATGAAAAAGATGAACTGAAATTTTAATCTTTACAAATGACTTCAGTGTTTTAATCTGAACCCATGAGGAACGTCAGCTGCAAACGTACCCTAGATGGAAAAATAAACTGGTAGGGCTGGTGACATCAGCCAGTTCCACATAAAGAGGTGGAAAGAGGTTTCCATCTTCAGTTTAACTGCACCCAGACTGGAGCATTTAAGTCATTTCATCAGATTTAAGGAAGAAGATTTTAAAAAGCAACAACACGCTAGGAGGAGGATATAGCTTAGTGGTAGAGTGCGTGCTTAGCATGCACGAGGTCCTGGGTTCAATCACCAGTACCTCCACTGACAGACAAATAAATAAACCTAATTACTTCCCCCCTGCCAAAAAAATAGCAATGACACGCTAGTAAACCAGCTCTCTGGGGAAGGGTGGGGAAGAAGCCCTGATTTGCCAGTTTCCAAGGTGTAAACATTCTCGCCATGACTGATTTCAAGCTAATAACATGCTGTCACTGAACGTGGTGTTGGGAAAACACACTCACCTCTCGTGAGCCAGTGCAAGCTGCCTCCAGCCACCACTGCTTGGGTGCCCACTTTATTAATCATTTGCAAAATATCCGTGGTCATTGTCATCATCATTTAAGACATTTTGGACACCTCTCATGTGTAACGAGATGCATCACTTGATGTGTCCTTCTGAGCGTAAGATCTCGATGAGCCTTAGGAGACCTTGACGATCATCTAATCCACTCTCATTTTCCTGATAAGAAATCTAAGTTTTGGTCAGTGTCACTCAGCTGGTCTTCTCTTAAATCTCTGCCTTTTCCATCCAATTTTCTGGAAAAGTCTGTAATGTTGGGCAAGTTCTGTTTCATGAGGGAACCCAACATAAAAATTATTCTACAAATGTTATTAAACCCTCTGATTTTTTATTATAAATTTACTTCCCACAGAAAAATGTGCTCTCATGCACTTTGAATGCCTTTTTAAAGATTTTCTCTTCTGAAAGTCCAACCTTTGAGAGACGATTTTATTAGCTTATTCCAGGAGGCATTTAAGGTGGAAGCTTAGGTTGGCATCCCAGACCCTTTATTAATTCCTTCTAATAAACCTTTCCTACCCTTTTAAGCTAAGCTCTGACAAAATGGAACTTTTGCGAATTCCTGTGCTTTCCATGGTCTCTACTCTCTCCACACGTTTGCATAAGCTACTCCCATTTTTCACTCAGCCAACTCATTCATCCTTCAAGCCTAACGTCCAGTGATGACTCAGTAAAGACCCACATCCTTCTAAGAGTAGAGTTAGGGGCCCCTGTTGTGCATTCTCTTCAGGCGTGAATGAATCTCTTCTCTCCAAGTTCCGTGCTGTCGCGTAGTAACCTGACTCCCTCATTCAACCATGAATCTCTGAGTGCAGAAGCTGCTCTTAATAACAGCATGCAAAACAGTCCTGGCACACAGTTGGTGCTCAAAAAGGGTATGCAGGATCTGTGGGTGAATGTTTGACTCTATAGAAGGATATACAGATAGATAAATGGATGTATCTTTCCCATTTCTGCTGACACTTTGCCCAGAGGCAAAGTGAACTCAGGACAGACCTCCCACCCACTGTCTGCCCTCTGCAACACCAGGTTCCCAAAGTATCCCCCAGCCCCACTCACCTGGAAGGCAGAGAAGGAGCAGAGCTGGGGACAACCACATGGTCCTATCTCCCTGGCTGGTATCCCCAGAAAATCCAGGTCCCGGCTGGAATCCAGGTGTTTACAACACAGCCTGCGTCAGCCACCTTCTACTTGTTCAACATTCCTTTGCATTTCTCTCTTATCCTCTTCCTTTTTAATCTCTTAGCTACTTCCTAATTTGAAGCCTTAGAAAAAAGGGGAAGGATGGCAAAAGACACTTCAGAGAAAAGACTAATCAGCAAGGGAAATCTGCTGGTTTTTTGGTTCATTTAGTGACAATATAAGGTTTGGGTCACACCCTGAGCTTTCATGAAAGTCAATCCCAAAATACGAAAAAACTCCAACAAAGGAGACCCTTTGTCCCTTGCCTCTCTCCCTCTTCCTGTCTTGGGCTGCTTTCTTAGTCTAATCAACCACCTCTGGCTGCCTACTTTTGGATCATAAAACACCTCCACTTAAAGATCTGGGGCTTGGACTCCCCAAATCTCTCTCAACCATGACTTCCATGTAGATGACCTCATTCCTCTTCCTTTAGCCTAATATCCCTTCTGGGCTCCAGACTCAACTTTCTAGCTTCCTGTGGAGAAGCTTCTCCTAGTTATATGTACACTATTAACCTAATTCAGACACAAGCCCCATCGCCTCATTTACTAACCATGTACCCTTGGGCATGTTGTTAAATCACTCACACCCTCAGTTTCTACATCTGTAGAGTGAAAGTACTCATTCCTATCCTATGGGAAATAAATGAGTGAATGAAAGCAAAGCACTTGGCACAGTGCCTGGAACAGTAAATTGTTCAGTAAATGTCAAATATTTTTAGGATAGTCTTGGACCAATGTAACAGCTTCTCCCCTGGTTTCTCAGCCCTCTGCACCTTCCCTCCAATGTAACTGACACATCAGAAGCATATTTTTCTCTAAGACACAGGTATCTGAAAATATAATTCCACTGACAACCCCATCTGTTTCTTCTACTTTTTCTTCTCTTTCCCCAGAGGTTGATCTCCATAACGTCTACATTCACTATCTTTTGTTTTTTGAGGTATCAAGTTCTATTTTTATTGGATATGCATTGTGTTTGTTTAATTTTATTTTATTGAGTTACAATCTGTTTACAATGTTGTGTCAATTTCCAGTGTAGAGTTCAATTTTTCAATCAAACATGAACATGCATATATTCCTTGTCACATTCTTTTTCACTGTGAGCTACCACAAGATCTTGTGTAAATTTCCCTGTGCTATGCAGTATAAATGTGTTTGTCTATTCTATATGTACCTGTCAGTATCTACAAATTTCGTACTCCCAGTCTGGGGGTCCCACGCCCCTCCCCACTGGCAACCACAAGCTTGTATTCTATGTCTATGAGTCTGTTTCTGTTTTATATTTAAGGTCATTTGTCCTCTTTTTTTTTTAAATTCCACATGTGAGCAATATCATATGGTATTTTCTTTCTCTTTCTGGCTTACTTCATTTAGAATAGCCTTCACTATCTTTTAGAACTCCCTACTGGATGATTTGTCATTCCAATCTTTTGCTGTAAGTTAATATCTTCCCTCTTCGACTATGTCTAATGAAATATGACTTACAGGTTGAGCCTTGGATAGAACAATCAAGCCACACAGGTCCTGTGCCCATGTAGTTACTACCCACTCCCCTGGGGGACCCAGAGTGAGCTGAGCTGACAGTAGGTGCATTACTGTGTTCCCCCATGTCATTTTTTCAGCATGGACAACAGCTGAAGGATTTGTTTGATCTTGCAGAGAGGATCAAACAAATCTCCAGTCCCTTCACAGTTCTGCTTTTATGTTGTTTTCTTCTGCTTCCCTTTTTTCCCCAATATGATCCGGGAATCGTTTAAAAAATAAAGGAAACGGGAGTAAGTAAAATCTGGTGCTGATGGTTGAAAAATATAAAATATGACTAATGTGGGCACATTTCATTACAATTCAATAAGAAAGTACAGATTGCTGGCAATATGATAGATGAGTCAATACAGAGACTTCCTTCTAGACCCAAACAGAAATTCTGTATAAAACGCAGCCGCCAAAGTTGTAATACATAACTGAAGTCAAAATCAAGCAAAGGAAATCCCCGGGTGCCAGACACATTGAGAACTGAAATTCAGGACTGTGAGCAAGATCTGATACCTTACAACTAATGGGAACTATTAGAAATGGATGTGGTTGCAGAGGGGAGAGGGGTGGGAACGGACTGACTGGGAGTTCGAAATTTGTAGATACTGACAGGCATATGTAGAATAGATAAACAAGATTATGCTGTATAGCACAGGGAAATATATACAAGATCTTGTGGTAGCTCACAGCAAAAAAGAATGTGACAATGAATATATGTATGTTCCATGTATAACTGAAAAAATGTGCTCTACTCTGGAAATTGACACAACATTGTAAACTGAATATAATTCAAGTAAAAAAAAAAAAAGAAAGAAAA